GTCGCGCCCACACACGCCTGCAGCACCGCATCCGCCACCGTGTCACCCCCACCGCCCGACTCGGCATCGTCGGTGCACAGGATCGCGAGCGAGCGCACGTGCGTGCCGAGCTGCGGCCGTGCGCCGAGCGTGCGTGCGAACAGCCGCAGCGCGGCGGCGCTTAGCAGTGTGACGTACCGGTACAGGTCCGGCTGGAACACGTCATGGTAGCGCCGGGAGAGTGCGCTGAGCGTGGCGGCTTGGCGCGTGTCGATCAGTGGCGCGGCTTTGCGTGCATCGTGGTGCAGCGAGTGTCGCAGGATGAGATCGACGATCTCGACCGGCAGTGCCGCCACCATGGCCAGCGGAGCAGCACGGCTGCGTCTCGATTCTGCGAGGGATGCCCGCACTTTTTGTGGGAGAGTGTCCTTGATAGAAGAATGGATCGTGACGAGGAGGGGCCTGGTGATTATGCGTGCATCTTGGCGGGATTCCAGCGGGGCGCCGCAGTCACGACGACGGGAGGCTGGTCGCAACGTCGTCCGAAGGATGTCGAAGAGTGAGACGAGCACGCTATCGTCGTGCAGGATAGGAGATGGAGGTGTTGACGGAGAGGAAGCAAAAGAGGTACCTGCGAAATGGTTACGGTTACCTAGCTTCTACTGACAGGAAAGAGGCAGAGGATGCACCCATGCAGCAGCCTCTAGCGATGCCGAAGGAAACGGCGGACGGGCGTGTTGCGGTACAGGCGAGCCGTGTTGTCAGGCTGCCTCACACACAGGGGGAGTCTGTGCCCAGCGAACAAGCGTCAGGAACACACGACTCGAAGTCGTTTCGCGGTGTGGGTGGGGATGGGCGAGGGTCGAAGACGACAACGAAGGATCCAACGGACCCGAACAAACGAGGGGGGGCGGCGTCTACAGCAGCAGGGTGATGCCGGCCATGAGGAGCCGTTGCTTCGGGGTTTGGTCTACGAGCGAGACAATAGGCAAAGGAAAGAGACGAGAAGGGGAGGGGAGAGACAAGGGCGCGGAGGAAAGATATTCACACGGGACAAAGGATGATCAAGACGAGGATCCCGAGCCATCGACGAGCGCACAAAGGTGCATCGTCGTACAGCCCCAAGCTGCCGAGGTTGAAAGGGGCGGGCGAATCACCAGAAGGAAATCCACCCAAAAAAAAAGGTCCAAAATCTACGATCTCCCGCACAGACAATCGAGATGCTGCATATGCACGCCGTTTGCCGAACTGCAAAACCAAGCCAGCGGAACAGGACGTGGGCGTACGAGAGAGAGAGTCACAACCCCCGAAAGTTGAGCAGCGAAACTTCACAGCGCCATGCAAGAGCCCCGAATTGGCGGACAGCCCAAGCGAAAAAAAACAGCGCCATGCGATTGCGGAATGCCTTCGAAACGAACCAGGAGCGGAATGATGGCAGCTCAGGATGACGATGCACACGACGATGGCGACACGAATGAGCACGCCAAGTCGAGCCGACATCATACAGCATGCAAGGCACGTCGATGCACACAACCTGCAAATGCAGCGCCAATGCAGAGCCAAGCGGTTTAACTTAGCGGGTCCTCTGCGAGCCTGATTTTCAGTGACGACTCTTGTAGAACCGAAGAATCGCAATTCCAAAATTGCCGTCCGACGACCCTACCCGAAGATCGGTGCCTCGCCTGTTTTTGGTTGGTTGCGCGCGTGACGTGGACAAGTGGACAAGCAGTGCCGCAGCATTTCGACGTCGGACAAAGGTGCGTCGAGCGACGCAGCCAAGCCTAACTTAATAAAATATTTTCGTCTTTGAGAGATTGGGCTACCGATGCAGCGGAACAGACGGCCCGCTGACACGCCAACTCAGATTGGGTCGTGCGATACACGTTCGGCATGAAAATGGCAATTTTTTTTCTTCTTCTTCTTCGTCGCGTCGAGTTAGCTCCGCTTTCTACGTGTCACTTCTGAAGGCCTGGAACCGGAAACAAGATTCGTCTTGCTCGTCTCTTTTCGTTGTTACTGTATGTATGCAGCGATCGCGGGGAACTGTGAAAGGTGGCGACTGTGAACCGACGTCCGCACATCTTAGCACAAATCCCGAGCTCACCGGCGATCCGCCTTGCCGGGTCAACAGCCGTTGCAGAACGCCGCCTCAGCTTATCGGCATCTTGCTGGAGAGAAGCCTTTTTTTTCACGCTTTGCACGTTTGATTCGCCGAAAGCCTGGCCCCTTTGCCAAAAACAAACTCTGGATCTCGTCAAGCCACACCTTGTTGCACGACAGCCCCAGCTGTTGATCACAGCATCCCCGGCTCGCTAAGCGGCATCCAATGTTCCGCACAGCCGCCAACAGCCTTGATCGCCCAACCATTGTGCGGATGGATCCGCGCTCGGAGCTCGAAACCACCATTGTCGCCGCACAAGTGATGCATGACTTCCAGTGCGTCGCCCTGTCCTGCCTTTTTTTTTAGCGAGATAGATCGTCCTCGCTTCGTCTCGCTCCGCGGCAGGCTAAGTTTCTATTAATGCGCATCCGGCCTCAATCTCAACAAAGTGTCCAGTGACACACTTGGTCGGCAAAGACGAATCCCCACGCCCATCCTGCCGTTCAAAATTTTCTGCATCATGGGAAAAAAAGAAAGTGACCAGCCTGGGGCTCGAACCCAGAATCTCCTGATTAACCAATGCTAGTGTACTCCCGTGCGAACAGGATGACTCTTTTTTCGTAGTCAGACGCCTTACCATTGGGCCAACCGGCCATTTCATGTCGACATTACAGAGCATTGCATATATTATGCACTCTACGTCTGATCCCACACCTCGTCTGCAAACCGGCGCCACACCACGCTACGCACAGTCGCCCAGATACGAACGGCATCAGTCCCGTCTATGGAGCATGTTCCTAGTGCGATCCTAGATAAAAGTAAGCGGAGACAGACAGAGCAACGGGTGCAAACGCAGCCAGAACCAGGACGCCGATCATCTCGCGCATGAGCCAGCGCCACTCGCGTGCCAGCCGCAGGATGTGTTGCTTGTTCTCTGGCACATCGACGTGATCGCTCGACTGGGTCTCGACGTTGCCCTTTTCCTCCTCTCGTTCACCCTGTGGCTTGTGCCCCTGCTCTGATGACGACGTTGGCATCTCGAACTTGGTGCGCTTGTTGCCAAAGCTAAACACGATCAGCCGCCGCAGCAGAGGTCGTGCCAGTTCTAGTCGGCGCTTCTCCCAAGACTGGCGCGGATACAAGTAGCCGAATAGGATGGGCACCTGCATCCCGAGAAAAGCGATGTCGCTCAGCACTTCACGTTTGGCCGAAGACGCCGGGAGTGACAGCGAGTCGGCCAGCGACTTGCCTAGCAGACGGCGCGAGATGCCGACATGTGCAGAGAGCGGTGTGTGGAACGGCGGCCGATCGGCGCATGCGATGAGCACAGGGATGGTGGGACCTTGCATTCCGGGCTGGGCATGATCGCCAAGCTGCCTGTCTAGCACCTCGACCTGGCTGAACAGATGCAGAACCGTGCACCACAGCGTCCGATCCGCGGCTTGGGCATCGGCGAATGCGACCCGCAGCAGCGCGGGCTCGATGCCCATGTAAAAGCCGATGTGCCGCCAGAGTGCGATGTAGTCTTTGCGTTCTTGGGCAGTGGGAGCGACACCGATCCTCTGCAGCATTGCGAGGGGTGCTGACGCAAAAGCACACAGCGTGCCGAGCATGTCCTCCTGGTTAATCGGGATGCCGTTCTTGTCGACATCGTAGACGTGGCTGTTTGTATCCGAAGAGCCGTTGCGACCCCTCTCGACAAGCTTGAGCACGCGATGTCGTACGTTGGTGTGGAGCAGCCGGACGCGAACAGCCGACTGCCAGCCGTCGCCTCCCATCTCGGGTGGTGCAAGAGGCGAATGGCCATCCACTGTGTCACGCCCAGGAGCAGACAAAGCGGCGATGCTGGGTGGCGTAAGGCTGTCTGCTTTCTCGACGACATCCAACACAAACTGGGTGGTCTCCAAGAGACGATTCCAGGTGCGGTCGGCATGCGCTTTGTCCACCTTGAAAGTCTGTCGCAGTTCTTCTACGGTTGGCAGGGATGCAGTCCGAGATGTCTTTGAGTCTTGGCTGCGACTGGCCGAGGCTGTGGGGACGAGATAGGCGGTCTGCTTGAGCACTTGGGTGATCCGTGGCGATGCAAAGCCACCAGCGAGGCTGAAGTGGAGAAGCACAGTGAGGATGGGGCCCGCATAGCGATAGAACACATCTTGGCCTCTTCGGATGACCTCGGCTTCGGCTTGGAGCTCTTCCGACTGTGTTCTAGCATCTAGTGTAGTGGCATCGTGAGGCGTCCAGATGGGAAGATTGGCCGCTGGCTCTTGTTTGTTCGTCGAGGGACATTGTGGCCATCTTGGGAGGCTGTTGATCGCGGCTTGTCCGTTGTGTGACTCGTACCACTCCAGCCCCAGCGCACCTGCACCGGGCGGCGGTCTGCGATCTACGGCTTTGTAGAAGGACAGGCAGTCTGACGCGTCTGTTGCTGCTGCATCCTGCCGTGATGCTTGGTCGTAGATCCTGCGCAGCGTATCGGTTGAAGTGCGCTTTGGCTGAGTCGCCTCCGCCAATGATTCGACTTGTTCGAGAGCCTGATCGGCGAGCGGATCGCCAATGCTACGCAGCTGTTCGAGCTTGTGAGGATGCAAGCATCGTTGATCCCACTCGACGATGCGATCCCAAGCCTCGATCATGTCGCCGTGCTGGACCGCATCGTCCTGGCTCCAATCGATGGTCTTTTCATGTCGAAGGCCCTGGCGTTGCGCTCGCCACTTGAGCACGGTCGAGGCTTGGATGCGCGACCATATCGAGCTGGTGGCAGACAGTGGAGCTTCGTTGCCTGAAAAGAGAAAGTCGGTGGGCGAGGAGCGGAATGGCCGATGGGCGATCGTGACGTAGACGTAGCAGAGGAGGTCGATCAGGAGAGCTCTCGCCGGAGGCACGCAGAGGAGGAGCAGAGTCACCAAGACAGCCAGTGCGAGCGTAGACGAGCTCAGTGTTTCTGCTGCGGCACGACCGCGCTCAACGAGATCAGCGCTTGTCATCTTGGAGAGGCACCGATCGGAGACCAGCGAGCGAGCCAAGGATGGTCGTGCGTAGTGCGGAAAAGCCGACGTTCGTTGCAGACGGCTCTGCCAGACTGCTCGAGCGGCAAGCAAGGGCCGAAGGCGGGTCGGACTCGGGCTAGAGCCAGCGAGGCGGGGTGGTAGTTCGAGAGGCAGCCCGAACGGTCATACACAGAGCATGGTGAGGATGAGGAAGGAAGCGCAGGCGCTCAAACCGGTGTCTAGACGGCCTCCTGCCACTCGCTCCTTCTCAGGGTCCAGCTCCTCAGATTTCTTCCTGGCGGAGCGGCTCGCTTAGCGTAATGCTGATGCTAAGCAGCGCCAGATAAAAATCGAACGTCATGCAGGGTCTCCGCTGGGAATCGGAAACGCCATGGAACCATATCAGGCGCAACGCTTGGCTTTTTTCGAGCATGTCGGCACAGCAATCAGGATCTGAAGCCTTGTCAGTGCGGTCACATCCGACCGAGTCTTTGTTCATGAGTGTGTGATAAGCCACCGTGAGGCGCAAAAGTGACTGCTGTCAATTGTTTGTCACAGCGGGAAAAGAAAAGAATCAAAAAATTGAGGTCGAGAAAAGCGGCCGATTTATTCATTTTTCAGGGTCCAACTTTTGGCTGAGTCGTCGCTCAGACCACTTCTGCCACCACCACCACCACCGCAACCTCGTCTCGCCCCACATCCTCGATCAGCATGCCCGTCGAAGCGCCGACAGAGGCTGCCTCGGCTATGACGCTGACCGCAAGCCTCTCTGATGTCACTGGACTCGCAAACCTCCTCAAGTCGGTCGCCATTCAGACGGTAAGCGATATGCTCTTCCACGGTGCTCCCTTGCTCTGATGAGCGTCACGACTGATTTCGCATTCATCTCCTCCCGCCAACAAAACAGCATGCCGTCGTCATCGCATCAAGCTCAGGCTTGGAGATCGTCACCGAGCTCAACCGCACCCTTCAGGCACACGCCTACCTCTACTCGCACATGTTCGACTCTTACCACTTCCAAAAGCCTTCCACCAATGCACAAGCCTCGACCAGCCGAACGCGGCCCCAGAAGCGCTCCAAGACTGGTTCCAAGCCAGGTCGAAATAGCGATTCCCAATCTCCTGCATCCTCTTCCGAATCCGACGACGTTCTACGATCCCAATCAACAGCAGAGCCGACTCGCAAGCGTGCGCGTGGCGCGGAGGATGAAGCAGCGGGCGGAATGGACGACGAGCCCGAGAGCGTATCCTTCGAAGTCAATCTTCAAACCTGGATCTCTTGCCTCAACATCTTTGGCGGTGTAGGGCCTTCTCGTCCGCACAGTAACACCAGCAGCCATTCAGGCTCTCGACAAGATCAAGGCGGTGCATCCTCCAATGGTCGGGCATATCATCGCACGCGTGATGGCACGGTCGACCCCTACGGCGCTGATCGAGGCGCATCTGTCGAACGCGGCTTGGATCGAAATGCCTTTTCTGCAGCCACCAAATCAACGCGCATGAGGCTTAGCTACGAAGGCCACGGCCATCCCCTCGTTCTCGAGCTCGAGCAAGAAGCCAACGTGCTCACCCGCGTCTCGATATCCACCTACGAGCCCAGCTTCCTCACGGATATGGTCTTCGATCCGCACAATATGGTCGCCCAAGTCATCCTCGGTTCCGAGCTCATGCAGTCCGCTTTTGCAGAGATCGATGCTTCCTGCAAGAAGCTCTCGATCTTCATGACCTCGCCCCACTCTGCATCGGCGCCGGACGATGACGAACGCAACGAGACATCAACAGCCTCACGGAGCCGAGACAAGAGCATATCGACGAGCATGCTCCGATTCAAAGCCATCTCCGACACCGGGTCGTCCGAAATGGAGTTCCCCGCCAGTCTGTCATCGGCCGATCCCATGGGCGTGATCGAAAAGTTTGTCGCGCTTCCTGGCAGCAGCGAGCAGTGGTACAATTTCACCTTGCTCTCACGCACCATGACTGTGCTGCGATCCTCGATCAAGACCTCGCTCAGGATGGACGAGGCCGGCCTCATTAGCTTTCAGTTTATGATGCCAAAGTATCGACGCGCGCCTGTCGCAGCCGGAGCCGCAGGTGCTGGTGCAGCTCAAGCTGTTCACGAAGACGAGCAAGATGCTTTTTGCGAATTCTTGGTGAGTCTCTCGAGCCAGAGCCTGTCGTTGACGCAAGATGCGTGAATCTTGGTGCAATGCGCTGACTGTCTGCGCCAAATCTTCTTTCTCCTTTTGGTCGCCGTGTGTGCCAACCTTGACCTTGATCTCGTCGCTCGATCTGCTTTACGCTTTCCTGCGTTCCTGGCGGTCAATCCCCGCGGATCTGCATCCCCGCCTGCTGACCTTGCCATCGCTTGTTGTTCTCTGTCCTCTGTTCTCTGTGCGCAGTGCTGTCCCCTCGACACTAGCACGTTGATCGTTTAATGCGATCATCAGCGAGCTGCATGGAACGGCGACTCTTGCGCATGTGCCTTGTGTGTGCTGCGTTGCTTGAGATAAATTGGCCGGCGGCAGAGCCGTTCAGCATATTCTCGAGCACGCTTGACACCAGCGGACTAGTCGCGAGCATTACTCGATGCTACCCACGGATGCCCTTGACTAACCGGAGGTACGAACCTAGTGAAAGTAAAAGCATGGGCACGTGGTGCGCCTAGCGC